TGTTTGAGAATGTGATGGTTCAGTGGTTAGGTTGAGGTGGGATAGGCTTCCCTGAAGAGAAAAGTCTTCAGGGAACGCCTAAAGACAGTCAGGGTGGGAGATAGACGGACAGGTTGGGGTAAAGGGTTCCAGAGGATGGGAGAGACTCTAGAGAAGTCCTGGAGGCGAGTATGGGAGGAGTATGGGAGTACTTGCACCCTAACCATGGGTGCATGTTCTTTAGTAATGGACAATGCTTCAGTGTAGCTTGCACAGTAGAGGACTTAGTTAACAGACTCAGGCTGAACCTGCAGGCGCATTGCATGGTGGCATGTAGTCCGCAGTGGAAGTAAGCACCCTAGGGTGACAACACTGTTCCTTCTTATAGGAACATGCAATGAACATTGTCACCCTAGTACAGGAAGTGCTGTCAAGTCACTCACTGGCAGGATCACCAGGTACAATAAAAAGAAATGCAAGCAAGAGGGAAAAAATAAAGCCATCAGAGATAAGGGTTACGCTATCATATATTATATTTTAATTTATGGGTTTACATAAACTTTAAGCATGTATGCACTAGGCTAGAATCTTAACCATTAAATTACTTACACCCATGGTACTTAGTTTATTTGTGACATCGCCTTTTCCTTTAGCAGAACTTCTCGCCTGGCATGTTAGGATATTTAGGTACAGCTGCTCAATGGGTGCACTTTCAATATGAGCTCTAAGATGAACAACTAGAAATGGGCCTTTTATGCTCTCTATAAAAGTAAAATACAAAAAACACAATAGATACCATGTTTGTCAAGTACATTCAAAACTGTGGTTTTCAAACTAGACTGTAATATTTACATATAGTTATAATAGTCTAGCAAAACATACAGTAGTAGCACCGGTCATAGTTCAAACTCTTGGTTCAACCCACAAAGTTTTGGAATCTTATTTATACATTGTAGGCGTAAATAGTTTCAGCATGCAACAGCTGCATAGACTTTATTGTAAGGGATTTTACACTTCCTGCACCAATATCTGAGTATATCAAACCCTGAGCACAAATGAAGTACTCATACACCAAATCTAGTCAGCAACACCTTAGTGACTGTGTAACAGTAGTAATAATAAGGAGAATACTACTAATGATAGTAACCTCATTTGTGTATGCTAGTGACATCTTGTGGAATACTTTGAGAACTACAGCCTTTCAAAAGGCAATTTTCCTTATGGTTACAAATGCAAATATGCAAATATGAGATCGAATTTTTCTAACAATAATAATAGCACAATAGTCTATGCATTTTATTGTCTACAACTTGGATACATGTATAAATTAGCCAATATGCAATATTCCATGCAGGAATTTGCATGCCGGAATTTTCAAATAAAACTGGTATTATAAGTGGTAACTAACATGGTTTCATGAAGGGTCGTTCTTGCCAGACCAATCTATTAATATTTTATGAGTAAGCAAGTACTAAATTAGACAAAGAAATACCAGTAGATGTGGGGTATCTGGACTTTGCTAAAGCATTCAACACAGTACCCCACAAACAGGGGCAGACTGACCATTAGGGCAGTCGGGCACTGCCAGAGGGCCAGCGGCCATCAGGGGGCCCGTCACCGACTGTCCCCTCCCCTGTCTGTACATCCCAAATAAAAAGTCATCAAATAATAAGGTAAGGAGGGGCCATTTTAGCACAAAATCAGGTACAGGATAGTCGAAAGGAGTTTCTGTAACCCTCAGGAAGGATTTAAAGCCCATTGCAGACTTGGTGGCCAAAATACATTGGACACATTTCATCTATTAACTCCAGTGTAGGAGCTTTTTGAATATTCCTTGCCTTCTGATCTGCTGATTATGTGGATATATAAACTCCTCACAGATAAAAAAAATTAATGTGTATTACTAAGTTAGGTATTCACTGCAAAAAGTATTAAATTTATACTTACATACAACTAGTACAAGTACCTGAATGTGTCTTTACTTTAGCTTCTTGCAACCTCCTATACACCAGCACTAAGCTTTTAAAGTTACCCACTCCCTCCCCTGCACTGCATGAGTTTAATGCGCATTTGGCTAGCCGGGAAGGAGGAAATACAAATACTTCCTTTGTTCCTCTTTCCTGTAGACTTCCTCCAATCCATGCGACCATTCCCCAAAAGCTGATTCACTTTGTGGACGGGCTGGTTGCAACTCTCCTGTATTGTACTGAAGGATGGCAAGCGCCCACCCACATTGCGTTGAACCAAGCAGGAGGGTGGCGGCAGTTGGGGAAGCACAGAATTATGTAAATATTTCTACCTATTAGATCCCCCCCCCCCCCAGGCAAACCTCCAATCATTGAAACTTGAAAGAGAGAGGAGCTTTATGATGGAGAGACATGCCGAAAATGGGTGTGGCTAAATTGTGTTGAATATTAGGTGTGGTTTAAAGGAGCATGGTTAAATGGAGCCTGAGGCTGGGTTCACACCTTTTTTTCAGCTTGTTTTTTTTGCGGTTTTTAGCACGTTTTTCCGTTCAGTGAAACGCGCGTTTCACTGGCGGTATGATGATTTTTTTTTTTTTTCCTTTATTTTCTCTATTTTTAATTTTTTTACATTTCTTTTTAGTTTCACTTTTAAACTTCCCGCCGGCTCCGCCCCCCTGCGACGCGGCCGCTTGCAAGGGACGGAACCCGGAAGTCGGCAATCGCCGGAAGACACAGTGGGGATCGCGGACAAGGTAAGACCTGTACGCTGTATTCCCAAGTGTGGCTCGGGGGTTACCGCTTTGTTAACTCGGAAATAACAATGGGAACGCGCGACAAAACGCCCCAAAGAAGCTCCTGTACTTCTTTTGGCGTAGGGCGTTTTGCAGCGCGTTCCTACGCGCTGTAAAACGCCCAGGTGGGAACCATGCCAATAGGCAATCATTGGTTTTCACATGTTGAGCGTTTTACAGTGCGTAGGAACGCGCTGTAAAACGCCCAGGTGTGAACCAGGCCTTAATCTACATATTGTATACACTGTACACAGTCTGCAATCCTCATACCCAAAAATACCCCATAATTACCGTGCTAGTCTCACAATAAATTAAAAATAATTATGTATTGATGGTTGTAAAAGTGTTTGTTATGTTTTGTACTATTACAATTAAAAAGAGTATTGAACTAAAAAATAAATAAAGAATATACACAGTGAGAACTTCATTAGGTGCGAACTACACATGTATGGTCAATTGTTGAGAAAATAAATTGCAAAGCACTGTGCTAGTATTGCAGCACTACATGTGCTCTACTAGGGTACCTACAGTGCTACATAAATGTTCTCTGTAACTTTACTAGAGGTGAGGGACCTTTGTATGCTGTCTAAAAAAGGCCTAGATCACAAAACTAGCTAAACAGTATTACAATTGTTAAGACATGTGAAATAAATAATATACAGTATAAGTATTGTTACATATCTTAGAGGGAGCCAGAAATGGAGAAGGTGACCTTTCTTGCTGCTCCAGTCCAAGCACCCCTGAAGAAGTGGGTGCACAAGGACAAGGAGTGCCGGAAGATAGCAAGTCAATGGGAGTCCGGGATCAGTAGTGCAGATGTCTCCCAAGCAGGAAGCAGGTGAAGAATGTAGGTCTTCAGTAAGAAGTCTGGTATAGTCGAGCAAGCAACAATCGGGCAGCAAGGTAAAAAAACATCAGATGGAAGTCCAAAATTGGGTCGAGCAGACGAAAAGGTCAAGGCAAGCCGAGTCAGTAACGAGAGAACAAATCAGGATACAGGAACTTGATAGCAGAGACAGCTGAAGATCAGTCAGCATGGATGTCTCAGCCTTAAACAGCTTGACTGGCGCCACAGTTCGAAATTATTATTATTATACCGGATTTATATAGCGCCAACAGTTTGTGCAGCGCTTTACAATATAAGGAAGACATTACAATCACAATACAATTCAAGACAAGATGGTAAGGAGGGCCCTGCCCGTGATGGCTTACAATCTAAAAGGGAGGGAGAACTGATACATAAGGAGTTAGCTGTGTGGGGATGAATTGTTTGAGAACGTGATGGTTCAGTGGTTAGGTTAAGGTGGCATGTTCGGGTGCATTCCGTGAAATGTGCGCACAGACACGCACCCGCCTGCACAGATCCATACAGCTGTGCACAATTCTATGTGCCAAACTAAGCCCACACACTTGCACAGGCGTTCTAGTATTCCGCGAGCTGTAACGCTTACCACGAGCTATACCGCGTTCGGTATAGCGCAAGCTGTACTACAGCTCGTGGTACACTGAGACCGCCGCAGCCGGGACGGATCCTGACAGCTGTACCTGCCCCCTCCCCCGTTCGTTCCTCCAGTCAGCGCTGGAGGAGTGGACAGGGGAGGGGGGAATCCCATCAGGGAGCCGTGAGTGACAGTCACAGCTCTCTGCAGGGACAGGATCGAGAAGTGAGCGAGCGACGGTATGTGTTCGCTCACTTTCTGATCTATTGAGCCGATGTGTGACAGTTTCATTGTCACACGTCGGCTCGAATTATGAGGTTGAGTGAAAATCACTCACCTCATAGTTCTCCTTTAAGTATAACAAAATATAACACATATTGCAAGGAAGGATTAACACTGGACAGGTGACATTTTTTTCATCAGGATCCACCTTATGGAATTCAGACCAGAAATATCTGAGTGTGAGCAAATTTAAATATTAAGTTTGGTTCCTTTAAACTTATTTTGGTCGAGATTACATATTTATTTCTCTGGCCTGCCATGCAATAAAACCTCACATACTCCCAGCTGAGCCTGTTTTCTGCCAGCCATTCTAAAACTGCTGATATTACTCCCAGTGGTCAGTTTACAAGCAGAATGCTGGGAACATACAGAACCATCTAGGCCCATGTGTTTTGATGTGGAGGTATTGTTATATGTGCATCTATCAGGACCCTGGTAACAGCAAAAGTTAGTGTTGTCCCCTGTGTAAAGCTCATCATGACACATCCCCTGCTGTATAAATACCAACACTGCCCTCATTACCACAGTTCAGACACCTGGAAATGATTTTAAAAGGTCTCCTTATTCTGCTTTTTGTGCTGTCATTAGCACAGGCAACCTCGCCAAAGCACATCATCCACCCCAAGTTTCTACACCTAGGTAAGTGTCTTGTAACACAGCTTGATAGATTATTTCTTGTCTGAATGATCTTTTGCTGTTGTTCACTGTTATAAAATCACATTTGTGTACATCCACAACGGCAACAAAGCTGGACAACAGAGCTAGTTTCATTATTTCTGTTTATAATCTGTATATTTTTTGAGTACTTATATTTTAATTAAACAGTGTTTAATTGTGATTTATGATGGTTTAGAGAATGGCAGTAGAGGAAATAAGGGAAAGTCAGGGGTAGAGATGTAAAGTAGGAAGACACAGACAAGACAAAATGAGAAGAGAGGTAAGGGAGGTAGGAAGAGACAGACAAAACAAAGAAAACATGGGAGAGAGAGAGAGAGAGAGTGCTAGAGCATGAGACAGTGAGCTAGAGATGTTAGGGTAAGATAGCGAGATGAGAGAAAGGAAAGTAGGTGAAAAAGAGGAAGAGGGGGAAGGGAGGTAGGAAGAAAAGGACAAAACAAAGAAAACAGGGGTAGCAGAGTGAGAGATGAGAGAGATGGGGTAAGAGAAAGAGAGTGCTAGAGAATAAGACAGGAGGATAGGGAGTTAAGGGTAAGAAAGAGAGAGAGATAAGAGGAAAAAAGAAGAAAAAGGGGAAGAGAGGTAAGAGTGGTAGGAAGAGAAAGACAAGATAAATAAAAGAGGGGAAACAGAGCAGAAGACATAAGAGAGAGAGACAGATGGGGTTAAAGAAAGAGAGAGTGCTAGAGCATGAGACAGAGAGGTAAAGGTTAGAGAGGGAAGGGTATGTAATGTTAACATTAGGAGAGGAAGAAACAATGTAAAATTAGGAAAAAGAAATAGAATTTGATTACATAGAGTACATGAGAGAAAAGCAGAATGAGGGATCCACATGTAGAGATACTGGTATTTAGAATACAGTATATTACATTATCAGGAAAACAAAATATCTGAATGTAATCTTACAAATTGTTACTGAGCAGGGAACTCTATTCATGAAATGCATGTGAATAATACATAAAAATGTTTTGTAAAATGGAATGTGTGTAGAAGCTGTAGTGACAGAAGGTTCCAGGAAAATAATCCCTCAGGGTTCATTGATGGGAAAAGATGTCCTCTTTTTAGCTAAGCCATCTGTTGAGGGCTGGAGGTAACATACATAGCGCCGCGGCTGCACATATAAAAATACAAATATACAATTGGTACAATAAAAGATAAATGTTGTGTTAGCTTTGATTTAAGGAATAATTTCTCTTCTGAGCCCCAGTATAGAAATGACTTCATCAGCTTTATTTTATTTACAACCTGCTTGCGGCCTCTGTTCTTTGTTACTAAATCCATAAATATGACTACTAAACCACCAACAGCATATCATAGCAAATTGCACTCTACCTTAGTAGCACAAAGAGACAGCTAAAACCCCATGTACACAAGAAGAAACATGTATGAGACCCCATTTTACCCTCTAAGGCACAAGTATCAAACACAAGGCCCGTGGGCAGTTAATTGACTGCTAGCTCCGTTCGGACAATGGGAATTATTCACTAAAGAACCGAAGGATCCAGCCGTAGCTTCGGCTTGCTTCGGCCACCTCTGCCCTTCGGTTCAGTCGAACCGAAGGGCTGCTGTACGCAGGGCCGGCCTTAGGCCTTTAGGCGCCCTGTGCGAGAAAGCTTTACAGTGCCCCTCAGTGACCACACCACTCATTGGCCACAGCCATTTCTCCAACATCCGTACCATTTAAAGACTCCCATTTTGTTAAGCCCCCAAAGAAACATATTAAAAAGTATGATAAAAATAAAGCTTTTATTCAAAGGTATTAAACTTGTAGGCACAATATAAGTATTCTTATTAAATAAAACAACTGTAGGCAAACAAGCAAACAATAAATGTAAAACTACAATAGAGTCTATAAAAATAAAGTGTCAGGATTTCATGCAGACCCTTTTTTCAAGTAAGTGCATCTAGAAAAGTAAAAAATAAAAAAAAGAACACAAAACCTAGACTACATGTTAAATTAATGAATTACTATTTGCCTGTATATACGAAAAATGTATTCAGGCACATAATAATTTGTTTGAGAATGTGCGGCGGCCATGTGCCAATGTGGAGGCAGGGAGCATGACGCCACATGATGCCATGCATGCGTGGCATCAAGTGACGTCACACGCCGATATAGGCGCCGCCATCTTGGTGTATACCTAGATATACACCAAGATGGCGGCACCCAACATGTGCGGTGTCATATGATGTAATGCGCCCTGCCTCCAGAACATGCCAATGGCTGAATCCAAAATAGCATAAAAATGTGTTTTGTTTGATGAAATGAATGAAAAGTTTTTCGTTTTCGTTCATTTCATCTGAAATGAATTTTTAGTCTCTGCACATGTCTAATAATATGTGTGTGTGGGGGGGGGGGTAATTTTTTTCTGTTGGGGTGGGCTTCGGGGAAACATTAGGGGTCTAAACAGACCCCTGACATTTAGCTTTTAAAATAGAAAATAAATTGAGGACACAAAGTCCTCAATTTCTTTTTCTGCAAATCTGTGGCGAACGGCAGAGAGGTAGCTAAATAAAGTAAGTAAACATCCCCTAGCATTAGTGTCAGTGGGATTAAACATCCCTCCATTTTTGGTTTCAGTGTGATTGAAGTTCCCCTCAGCATTGGTGTTCCATGGTTTTTACTGTCCAGCATTGACTTAATTATATCAGCATTAGAACTATGAAAGCGCTCTCGAACAGGAGATTATTCCTGACAGTGCCTGCATATAACTGCTGCTGGGCGCTGGAAGGGAGTTCCGGGACCTGGCAGCGGGACATGTCCTGGACTCATGGGATGCTGAGTTTTTGTTGAAATCTTATGACAGTCCAGTGGGGTCCAAGAAAGTTAGGTGGTATGAGACTGTGTAACATTCTGCAAGGTGTAAAGAACACAGAAGTCAAGAGAATATAATGTACAGCATAGTGTACAGAGTGCAGCGTTGAGGAGTATGTAATGTACAGCACATTGTACAGCCTACAGCAGCCCAGAGAATATATCATATAGCATGGACTAGTGATTGCAGTTGCCTGTGTGTATGTAATGTACAGTAGGTTGCAGAGTATGCATCATATAGCACAGACTGTTCATCCGTTAAGAGCAGGGGTAGCAAAACTTCAAACTACAAATCCCATTGTAGCACTCACCCCCTAAGGAACCACTGGATGTGAATTAGGTTCTCCTACCGGTTTGTTAGCCACCAGCCCTTTTTCTTAGCTCCAGCAACAACTGACACTTTTGGAGAACAGGCTCGAGTCGTAGGGTTTTTTTTGTATTTATTGCTCAATATCAACTAAGAGAGAGGTATGGGTTTCAGGATACCCGAGTAACAAAACTAGAGGACAGTGTCTTCACCATTAGCAACAATAGTAACAGGTAGTAAAAAGTCCTATGAGAGCGACCAGTGTAGTACCACCAGAGAACAGGCAGGAACAGTTCTGAAGCAGAACAATCACAGGACTTACAGTGCACCCACTGGCTTCTCTTCTGTATAATATCTGAATATAGGGTGAGGGATCTCTTACAAGGTCCAGACTGCAGCTGTCACCAGCTCCTCAGTGACACTCTTCAGTAAGCAGATTCTTCCTCCAACCCAGCTTCCATTAAGTTTCCTTTCAGGAGCATCTTAGGCCTGGTTCACACCTGGGCGTTTTACAGCGCATTCCTACGCTCTGTAAAACGCTCAACATGGGAAAACCAATGATTGCCTATGGGCATGGTTCCCACCCGAGCGTTTTACAGTGCGTAGGAACGCGCTGCAAAACGCCCTACGCCCAAAGAAGTAGAGGAGCTTCTTTGGGGCGTATTTGCTGCGCGTATCCATTGGGATACAGCCAGGTAGCCGGTAAAAACGTGCGACAAACGTGCATATTTGATCCCAGCCTTAGGCCTCTGGGACTCCAGCATCTGCCACATGCTGAGGCCTAGGCCAGGCATCATGCAGCACACAGACCTTCTCCCAGGTAGAAGCACCAGGGGAGAGAGAGAGTTCTGGAAGGTGTTCCCAAATATTTATCACCTCCCTCCAGTCACACCTCTTAAAAAGCCTGCTCAGGGATTGGTCAGAGCCAGATACATATTCATAATCTGAGGATTGATCCTCCCACACTGTACGCTGAGGCCCCAACCCAGCAACAGGTAGAATCAATGAATCCATCCATCCATCAGACTTAAGCAAACCTGCAGATCTCAGAGCAATCAGCATCTTGACTGATTACAGTCCAGATATAACACTAAATTTAATAGTGACATAGTAGAGGGCGCTACAATATCATGCATCTGCCTCTGGAAGTCATGTATGTGGCTATCAAAGTTTTGCAGTCCTTATGGGACTCGTAGTTCCACCACATCAGCATGGCCGAAGTGTGGCTACCTCTGGTTTAGAGTATGTATCAAACACCACACCACAGCATACAGAGTAGAGCAGTGAAAGCCTATTTATATCAGTGATCATTATAAATCTTGAGTAGTCTGGAAACAATGCCTACAACAATATTTGAGAGACTTAATGATAGAGGACAGATATGGAAGTGTGCAATTAATAAGAAATTGAGTGATGGAGATGTATAGAATGGAGAGAGAAGGTGTGTTTGATGCCAGCAGAAATTCTGGAACACTTACTGTTGCTTACTGTCAGGATCTGTGCTCCTACAGTTAAGATAAGTTAAAATGTGGCACCAGTTGTATGCACTGGTTGGGTTGAAGAAGCAGGGTGGTGAGCAGGGTTATGCAGGGACCAGCACTGTAGGTGAAATTGGGTGTTCCAATGAGTGGGAATATAAGGCACGGTGGAGAGATGGTTCACCCATTTCCAGAGGGAGTGATCAATCAGAGGCTGTGTAGAAAAAGAAAACAATATTATCTGCAGTGCTTATTAAACCCACATAAATATCCCAGTGTTCTCCCTTTACAGATAACAACATACAGTATAACAACAATACTATCAAATAAAGCCCACAAAAAACTCTGAAAATCAATAAGT